TTAGACGAGTCGAGAACGGTACAACGAATCGTTTTCTTTCTCTAATAATTTAAGGAAACGTCAAAGCTTCCGCGCTTCGCGCGAGAGGGGGAACTGAATTCAGATAAGGATTAAGAGTCGAAAACAGTACACCGAATCGTCTGCTTTTTCTCATAATTTAATGAAACGTCAAAGCTTCCGCGCTTTGCGCGGGAGGAGGGGGGAAACTGAATTCAGAAAAGGATAAACAGTCGAGAACGGTACAGCAAATCGTCTTCTTTTTTATAATTATTTAATGAAACGTCAAAGCTTTCGCGATTCGAGCGGGAGGCCCATCACCCACACCCCCTAATGAGCGCGCTTTTAAGTGATTCTCTTGCTCACTACCGCCCCTCCCTAAAATAAGATCCTAGCTCCGCGCCTGCATTAAAATATATAGCTATGATGCTGACTAAATTGTAGAAATAATTCGTATATTTATGTCGTCGAGAAAAATGACAATTTTGCGCATATGCAAGTACTATAGATAGTACATAGGAAAAACAATTTAGCCTTCGGCCCCAGATTTATAAGGTTGCATTTGTAGATATTGGACATTTAATTTTGTCGGTAATTGGTGGCTAGTTTTGTCGGTAATCGTTGGCCTCTGCGACCCCCACTGAAAAAGGTCTAGCGACGCCCTGCCAGTAGCCCATTGTTGCATCACTCTGATGAAAACTTTTCGTGTAAGTATGCAGGCCTAAAAAATTATTATAGCTACAGTTCACTGGTTGTATTAAACACGAGTATGACTATGCTTTGAACATTTTATGCGTTTGCGATCATCAGATTGGACCTTGGATTAGTGAAGATTGTTATAATTATGTCCATCAATGGTGAAATTGAAGGTAGTTTACTTTTTTGTTGGATAAAGAAAAATATTAAAACTTTCACGTGTAATCTTTACTGATATAACGTTCATATTCAGTTTCCTTAATTAAAACACCTACTACAATATGACGGGATAGAAATTCAGCCATTTCTTCTTATTGTTTTTGGTGTTTATTTTCTTTGTGGTGTGTTCATGCAAGGAGGGTATCTCTTTGGTTCATGAGTATAAACATGTACGCGTGTTACTTCATTAATATATAAAACGATTTCTTTATATTCATTCCTCGTTCTTTATAACTATTTTGAGTTTTGATTAAAACAATCCTGGCATAGTTTTAAATCCATGAGGCTAGCAGTTTGGTAATGAGGTGAAAACCCCTCTTTACTTCCTTTGAATTTTAATATAACATTAACATCAATTCAGAGAAAATTAAACGAACCATATTAACATCTCATTTCCAAAAATCCTGAATTATTATTTTAATGTTTTGCTAATGACATTCTTAATCTAGAGAACATCTACAGTTAAATAAGGTTGAAAACTGAGGAATGGTATGCAAATGAGGGAGAAGAATGGAACTGTTTAATTGAATGATCAAAACTAGGTCCTACTCAAAGTTCAAACCTGCTCAAATTGAATCAAGACTAAGACACAATTTATGACTACGGTTTATGAATTCGATGGAAAGAATGCACATTAAAAGCATTTAGAATTTTTTGAGTAATTTTTTGGATATACATAAGTAAACCAATATTGTTTATGTTCTTGTACATTAAATATACTGGCGCCATGGGACTATATACCCTACGCAGAACGTATACATATTAAAATGTTAAAAACGTATTCTATCGTCCGATAAGATGTCCGAATAGCAAAACATGCCTACCTAAAAATACAGACAATAATATTTGATAAAAGTGTTCGGAAAAGGTAAAACAATCTAATGACTTTGTAATCATCACATCAATGCCTTTCAATTGAATTCATGAACTTAATATGTTTTTTAGTGTGTATTAGGCTATTCAGTTAGAAGAAATATGATATTATAATTTTCACTTATTTAGATACCCATTCAAAACCTAACTCATTCCTCCAGTGCTACATAACTAGTAAAATCAGAGGAGTTTTACGTTTGTTAGTTTGGGTAGGGATTTTCTGTAAAATTAGCCTTGACATCAGAAAACATTAAATTGACTGTTGACCAATTGTATAGCCATTTGTGTAGTGTAATTTCATTTCATTTCATTTATTTTCCACATTAATGAAGAGTTCATTTTAAAACGGCTGGTATAAGTTAGCCATTTCTGAGATTTGTTATCAGGGATAAACGTGTGATGAGCACAAGAGGTTTATTATCTGGTCTAAGACGAGAGCTTCTACCCATATAACTTAATCAAAATTGGGGAGGTTTGCAAATGAGGGCTAATATCTGTACAGGTAGTAGCCCTCATATGCACGTCCACACCAAATTATATTTCTTCTGCCAATTAAATTTCATCGAAATTCGGGAGGGTGTACAAATGAGGGCTATGGATTAGTATGTACAGGTTCGCAGTCAGACTGGGGCTTGCAATGCATAATGAGGTGGCATGGGTGAAGAAAACGGCCACCCTCTGAAGCGACTAATAATTTACGAGTTCCGGAAGAGGATGTGACACCCAATTTTTCAATACATCAGCGTATGGCGCGCGCGGGAAAACAAGATGTATCATAACAGTTTGCCCTTGCACGGGTACCTCTGACACGATTTTAATGGATGATGCTGGTTTTGACAAGAACTGCCGGATAATCGGAAATAGTACGTAGCGTGACTTCGCTATGTGTTTTATTGTGCTCATCACACGTTTGCCTAATAACAAATCGTTCTCTGAACCCAAGATCGATGTTGTATACAAGTATGCATTGACGTGTTCCTTGAGTTTGTTCGACAAGATGAACATGAGGATTTCAATGAGGAAATATATTCGCCGGTGTGTGATTCGTCCAAACTTAGTCCAAATTTGATTAGTGTTATATTTTGTATGACATCACTCTGCTTTCATGCCATGCTTGATCCATCATCTGTTAAAGGCGTCCACGTGTAGCACACAAGTAAGTTGTTTTCCTTTTTCTTTTCCTTTTTCACGATTCCGCTCTGATGTGCAACCTTGCGTACACGTGGTTATTCTTAACCTAAATATAAGTGCAGTACTTATTTCCACTTTATTTAGAATAATTTAATAATGTTGTTGATGTACATAGAAAAGTCAAAGTTTATGTTCGTTCTTCAATTTTTATTTTGAACACGTTTGTTTTGAAAAGAGTTCACGTAATGACGCAATAATAAGTGAAATTCTGCCTTCCAAGTTTTGGGGATACTCAAAACTATAGAGGAGCTTTAATTTAAAGCGCCTCTTAAGTGTTGGGAACCCCAAATTCGCAACAACAACAAAAATAGCAAAATTTCACTTAAATGTTTATAATGATGTTAAAGAAATGAGATTTATCCCACACTTCTGGAAATGAGATTCATCCCACACTTCTGCAATCATTATCACAACAATGTCTTTGACGCCGGTATTGATGAAAGAATACAAAATTTCGGCTTTTTTTTCACGCAGAAAACGAAAATTTAGTATTCTTTCACCAATATTCGTCTTCGAACACATTCAATAAAATGACAGCCTGTTTCATTTCATTATACAATCAAAGTAAAATGTTTCCATCATATATCTGGGGCACCATACACTTTAGAGAAGCTGTTAGTGTTAGTGTTGGGAACAAACAGTTTAATGGCAATATTCCATAAATTGCAGAATGATATAGATGAGCAGATAAGATCTCTTATAGCTCAAATCTGCAAGGAATTTTAAACAAATGTGTTTAAAGAAAAATATTTGTATAACAGAATAAGAGTTTTTCTGCTGCATAGATATGCATAAAACTCAAATTATAAATTCTTTCATCAACATTTTGAGTGTACGTTTCGTTTCTAAACGGTCCTCTAGTTTCATTCAGTCATGCTTTCTTGTTATCTTTATTTCAGTACTTCTGAGTTCAGATTACCGTAACATTGTACATCGAGCTTTATACAGTTGGAAAAAAATCAATACTTTAGGAACGTTTTTCTCACAACTGAACAACTTTACAGAGTCCCGCTAAAAGAAAATACGTAAGGCCTACAGTATTCATTATTCTACTATTTTTTAAAGCTTCTTTAAAATTAAAATAGGTAGAATCCACACATGAAAAGTATAAGATCACTATATTGCAATACATCTCCCTGTGAATATGATCCGTCTGCTACAGGAACAAAATGGTGTGCGACTTCTTAACTTGTGTGAACCACCCCGTCTGAGGAATTCTCTGGCAGTAGCAATTTTCAGGGTCGCACAGGCCATAACATCTTGCGATGCTCGACTCTATCGTGTTTTCATGCTCTGTTCAACAGTTTGATGTTTAGGCCACTTGACACTTTTATTGGCCATAAGATGATCGAAACTTGTTGAATTTTATGTGTAAATACGGTGTACCTTTTTAATGGCTCTTCCCTAGCAACAGGATTTGGGGATCCTGACATTCAGCCAAAGGTAACCCCAAATTCAACCATAGTTAAAAAGTTTTCACCGAGTATTTCCCCAGTAAGGCAGCTTTATTTCAGGTACGAAATGTTCATAGTGATGGTAGCATACACATGGTTTAGCAGTCACTTCAAAACACACATTGGCATATTATTATTCAATAAAATCTGAGAATGTATACTATTATCTAGATCTATTATTTTTAAATTATTTTTAAAATAATTCCATAAAGTGGGATAAAAAAAAAATATTCCAACTTTTTGAGCGACAGTGTATTTACGGCGGTACAGCTTTTTCCGATTATCACAACCACTTTTGATAATACCAGCAATGAATGGTTCATACATCCAGGCGCGTACGCAGGATTTTTTCAAGGGGGGGGGGGTTTTAACATTTATAAATCGGGCCGAAAATTTCGCAACGACTCAGCCAGCCGCTGAATAAGCGGGGGGGGGGGGGGAAGAGGTCACTTTTTTTTTTTTTTTGGTCCCAAAAAAATCGCAACGACTCAGCCGTCAAATTACCAAAGGGGGGGGGGGGTTTAACCCCCCAAACATCCCCCCTGTGTACGCGCCTGCATACATCACAAATCTTTATTTAAACATTCGCCTGGCGCTCAGGCCATCTGTGTGCTTTTCCGCCGTCGTTATTGGTAGAAAGGTTTCGACAGAAACAAAGATCGAGTCGACAAACCGTCTGTCTGACACTGGTTTGAAAGTGATTGAAGCTTCCAGTTTCGGGTCACCCCGATCGATAAAAGAGAAGTTGCTTTTCTACACTATATTCTATATATTCCCGATAAGGCGTGATAGAGTTTGACAAGGCAATCTCAAAAAATCATTCGCTATGTGTTGAAAAATGCCCTTGTGGTTCTGATGATGGGCCTGGTTGTTGAGTCGTGCTACATGCGGCATCAAAACGAGGTTGTTGAGTCAAGCTGCATTCGGCATCAAAACGAGGTTGTTGAGTCAAGCTGCATTCGGCATCAGAACGAGGTGGATAGTTAGGCATGAAGTAAATCTTCTTTCCGATGCCTTGCTTGGATATATCTGGAGTTTGTAACCACTTTTTCTTCTTTCCATCGCCGTCGACTACAGAACGCGTAAAGCCGATAACACGCCGTGTTACCTGTTATAATCAAGCACATGTATATTTGAGAAATAAATTAAAGGCTATCATCATATCCCAATCGCATGATCGTCCCAAACTTGTAGCAATTTCAGTATAATCATAGTTATAAATAATAATGTCATTATGTAAATATATATAATAATGCCAAGACGTGGTACTTTTTATTAATGAAATCTTGTTCAGTTCTTGGTCAACATAGCATCATGTGACCGTCTTGAGGGCGGTATCAAGGGGTATAATGATTGGTTGTGCGTTTGGTGAAATACATGCTTCGTCTTTGTCCGCTTATAACGAATCATTACATTAGCATCTATACGTCATCATTTTAAAACATTTAAAGAATGATATTGTTGATAATCACCCTGTTCATGATAGTGTCAAGATCGTCAATGTGTACGTGGGCAATCAACTCCTCACATAAGCTCTGTATAAACCAAGAACCATCCACTCGATTGCGGATTGAAAAATAACCTGCCGAAATAAATACAAAAGCGATTATTTGTAACTTAAGCCCACCGCAGACACTTTACCATCTGACTACGATCCTACTTTGAACGAATTTGCGATAGCATTTGATATGAACATTCAAACTTCTAAAGTCATATTGATCAATAAATTTAAAATTTCAATGAATCCAAGCTAAAAATACATCGGCTCAGAATCGTAGTGACGACATACCAGTAAACCGCTTCGTGTGATTGTCTACGATTTGAAGCCCGGATTTAACTTTCATCCTGACTAGAATGTTAGTGTTCTCATCAAAATTTAGTAATAATCATAATAATCATATTAATAAAGATGATGATAACAATGATATATGAATTATATAGTTTATTGGACTGTTAAGCTGGTCTTTTATTTCAATGATAGAACAGGACACAATGTCACTGACACATTTTTGACACATTTCATCTCAATCTATAATACCACCATGTCAGGAATGTGGATCAAGGCACTACAATAATAAACGTTCAAGCTCGATAAAAATAGTTCAACCACCCCCTTCCCTCTAAATTTCTTTGTATGAAGGATAACGTCCACTATTTATTTTAATTGTTTAGATACTTGCTTGCATGATATAATGAATTGGCCATTCACTCGTTTTAGATTGTACAGTTTTTAATTCACCTTCGGAAGTGGCGTAGGCCACATATATATCAGCGTTATCTGGGACATCACCATCAACATCCATTTCATCGTCGGTCGGTCTTCTTGATGAACAAGAATCGATGTCGGGATCATCCACCAACTCGCTTGTCAAAGGTCTTCTGTGATCATCAGTGTCAAGAGCGCTCTTTGTGCGCATTTCTTCAATCGGGTGTGAAATGTAGAGAGCATATTTTTAATTCGAAATGTAAATTTGTAATACATCTAAGAATGTAGAGAGGCCTAATACCCCCCCCCCCCCCATCACAATGGGAGCGATGAAATATCTTTTATTTTACACTATAATCTGAATACTTTATCATATGGAATTTTACAGACTTCTTTATAATTATCCTTGATTATATAAACTTTTAAAATTGAAAAAAAAATGAATATTCGAAATGGAATCTCATCCCTTACAACTGAATGAGGTTACGAGACCGACACAAATAATGACGGTCTCGTGAACCCTAAAGCAGTTGTCAAAAGACCAACCAGACCGACGTTCTCGTGGTCAGTCTCGAGAATACGTCTTTGTAGAAGACTTGCGAGACCGATATAGAAGGTCTCTTGGGCTGTCTATCCCGTAAAACCCTCACATGATTTTCACAAGGACTATACGTAGCCTCCTGATGTTCAAATGCATTTATCACGTACCATTACTTTCTTAGAGTAGCGTGTCCTTACCGTTTATATGAAACCCACGACTTTGACTTACGTCCACGACATGCCTGGATAAAGAAGATTTTTGGTTTTCCGAGGAGAGCTGGGCATTGTCTTCCAGAAAACTTAGACTTGATTTCCTGAATTGTCACAACTTCCAAGTCGGTACCATAGATGCCTCGTTTCTCACCATGACTCATTAGAACAAGAACTACAGATGAGTGACAGATGGGTCCCTCCATATTTATTCTTCTTACAGACTCGTCCAGAAAGCTACGAATTTCCTGCACGGGGAATTGTTGATGTAATATATTGAGTCGAAAACGAGGTCGATATGATTTCAGTAAGTACATGATTTCATCATTTCAGTAAGTAACAAAACGCACTTTTTCGGCGTTTCAATATACACATATGAAAAATCGTATGAAAACGTGCTTCCGTTTATCAACATGCAAATTTGCCTGAATCACGTTTGAAAACGCTGATTGTAGGCTAGGAAAGAGTTGATAACGCATTTCTCTCGATCTAGAGGTGAAATATAATGTTCGTGTTGATCACGGATTCATAAAGGAGAAATTTGACTTCTAAAAGATTTCTTTAAAACATCCACAGAATGATAAAGTACGAATGGAATCTTCTTTTAGAGAATGAGCTGATAATTTCGTATGTGAATCAGAGTTCTAGAGCATCTTGTGGAACATATTAAGTGTAAGTTATTGCAGCAACGTTCAGTTTTTAACACAAAGTCGCGCTTTTCTCTGCATAACGAGTTCGTTTACTTACATTGGCAGACACATTTGTCATGATGACAGGTTCATAGCCGATTTTTCTGAAGACATGTTGGATATTCTTCAAGTCCAGCTCCGATCCAGGACGATCTTTTGCCTCATGGAAATGATCATTGTTTATTATGAGAACGAGCCCCTTGTAGATAGATGTATGCAACGCGTAATTCTGACGGGAATAAACGAAAATCAAACATTATTATAGCAAATCGCTCTGGAGGAGAGCATTAGAGACCCAGACATTTTAAACGAAATAGAACTAACAATAAGAAGGTTATGACATTTTGAAAGTTTTAATCCCTATAAAGGGAATTTCAAATCGGCCAAATCTGAAATGTCACTGTGATGTTTTGGCGGACAACTCTCTGGTTTCTTCCAACACAAAAAAATACCTAAAAAATGTATTTTAAAAATGAGTGACTCAGGGGAGTCTTTTCTTTTAAGAAGACTTACCATAATAATTTGCTCTCAATAATATATTGTCATGGAGTAGCCCCAAAGGAGAAGGCACTTCGGAGAAAAGGGAAATTAATGACAAGAAAAAAAGAGAAAAGTGGATGAAGACCCCTAAAGCGTATATTTACTTCTTCGGGGTCAAATTGTTCCTGCCTTGGCTCTGCCTTTTCTATCTCCCAATCCGTGTATAAGCCGTCTACGTCAGGTGCAACGTCAATTTGTGGCTCTGATGAAAATGGAAATAAAGTGTAGAAACGGGTGTTTCTATTCAAAACAGTCGGGCGGCAAAGCGATTCAATTGTTTTTTTCTTCATAAAGGTACTGAGTTTGATATTCTCTATTGAGCTAAAGGTTTAAATGCCAATTTACAGCACCCTACCGGCAAGTCACGACAGGCCAATTTTTCCGCTCGCGGGTCGACAACTTTCAACATGTGCAGCACAACAGAACGCTAGCCTTCACATGAAATGATCAAAGAGGTCTGAACAGAATAAGTTCGATCAATGGGATCGATAGTTGTGGTATCAATGTACATTTTTTATATTGAATTTGGAAGGCAAAACCCATCCATCAATAGATTCTGACAGAAAATTTGGCCTAATTTTGAACACAATACAATGCAAATGGTCATTTTTGGCCAAGATTGACCAAATTTACCATATTGTTGTTGATGAGAGTAAATCCGACCAATTTGTTAAGCATCAGGGTACATGTTTACATAAAACAAGCCATCAAATCTCCTTTGCTGATACTAAGCCTAACCAAAAGTGACAATAATTGTGTATTTTGGCCCAAAAGTGGCGAAAATTACTAAAACGTTGTGATTATATAGACAATAAAAGTTATATTTCTAGAATCAGTACATCATTTTCAAAATAAGTTATTCAAAACATATTTTTCCCCGATTGACGTGTCATATGAAAGGGCAGAAATTGAACTTTCTAGAAATGTTATTTTCTCTTTGAATTTCAGATACTGCCCGCCAAATGAATCTTTTGTTAATTCCTCTCTTTAAATTGTCTCTAATAACTCATGCGTGAAATACATATATGTGTCATTTATTAATTATATTTGTGATTAAGTTATGATAAAACACAATTATTCTCGGTTTCTTTTTTTTCTGGGACACACTGTACATATGATTTTTTTTCCTTAACATTCCAAGTTACTAAAACTTTTTCCAAATTGCTAATTTTTTCAAGAATTTCTACTCGTAATTCTTTATATTTATCACATTTCATAATTATATGGAATTCATCTCCTACTAGGCCTATAGAGATTCATATTGCAGTCTTCACGGAATCGTAGATAAGCGGGCGTGAAAATATTTTCTGGTGGTCAACGAGTTTCATTGCCTGAGAAACCTTTGCAAACATTAATTGGTAATTCAACCTAATCTGGTGTCAATAAATTATGATGCAATACACATGGACACTGACAACTACGTGACTTTACAATTGCTCGATATCCAGTTAGCTTAGAGTCCACTGGGCCAGCGCCAGTTGGTGCCAGTTCGCGCCAAAGATTATGTGATTGGCGCGTAGTGGCTCGCTGTGGCGCCGAATTAATGTCCACTCGGCATGTGTCGCCAAGTGGAATAAACTGGGTGCCATATGGCGTGCGCCAAATGCCACCCGGCTTGCTCCAAAATGTTGCGCCAGTTCGCGCCAGTTCGCGCCAGTTCGCGCCATTACACGGCCATTTGATTCCAAAATTCACCCTGTTGGCGCCATTCGCGCCAATAGACGGCTACTTTGCGCCACTTGGTGATTAGTTTGCGCCAAAGGTCGCCAAATTGGTTTGAACTTGCCACCGCTTGACGCTACTTGCCGACTATATAAATACCGGCCATCGGCTACCTGGTTCAGACCCTCCTCAGCTGCTGTATGCAAGGGCGTCGCCAGAGGGTGGGTGTGGGGGGTGCGACACCCCTCCACCTGTCAGGATATTGTCGGTAAAATTGCGCTGCCGTCGGGAAAAAAGAGAAAAGGGGGAGGGAAAAAAGAGAGGGAAAGGGAAAGAAAAGAAAACAGAAAAGGAAAAGAAAAGAAAGAAAGGAAAAGAAAGGAAAGAAAAGAGAAAGGAAAGAAAGAGAAAAAAGAAAAAGAGGGAGAAGAGGAAAGAAAGGAAAAGAAAGAAAAGGAATAAATGGAGAAAAAAAAAGGGAAAAAAGGAGAAAAGGGAAACAAAAGAAACGGGGGTGAAGAAAGGAGAGAGGGGGAGGTAAGAGCCTGAGAAAGGAGGAGTGGGAGTAAAAGAAGGGGGAGTTGTGGGTGGAGTCGTCTCGTCAAGGAAGCAAGAAAGACATGGGTAAATATATTGTTGTGTCGGGTCAGATGTGTCGGTATTCTTGCTCGATCCTCGTGTACTATATCAATGCAGAAATTTGAAGTCGGTGAGATGTATATTTTCGGTCGGCCGAAAAGTTTTTTTCCCTACGAACTGTGACTTTGTATCCGCTGTGAAGACTTCGAGAGTGACTACAACTACAATACTTGTATTTTCTCGAAGTTTCACTTTCCTATAATATCAGGTAAAGAAATCAGAGGTTTAAAATTTTCGGGGAAACTAATTCAAGCAAGGATTAAGAGTCAACAACGGTACGACGAATCGTCTCCCTTTCTCTATATTTTGATGAAACGCCAAAATTTTCGCGCTTTGCGCGGATGGGGAAAACTTCATTTAGACGAGTCGAGAACGGTACAACGAATAGTCTTCTTTCTCTAATAGTTTGAAGAAACGTCCAAGCTTCCGCGATACGCGCAGAGGGGGAAAAACCGAATTCAGATAAGGATTAAGAGTCGAGAACATTGCAACGAATCGTTTTCCTTTCTCTATTTTGATGAAACGCAAAAATGTTCGCGCTTCGCGCGGGAGAGGAAAACTTCATTTAGACGAGTCGAGAACGGTTCACAAATCGTCTTCTTTCTCTCATAATTTAAGGAAGCATCAAAGCTTCCGCGCTTCGCGCAAGAGGGGGAAACTGAATTAAGATGAATAGAGCTTAATAAGAGTCGAAAACGGTGCAACGAATCGTCTTCTTTCTATAATATTTAAATCAAACGTCTAAGCTTTTCGCGCTGGAAGGGGGAAACTGAATTCAGACAAGGATTAAGAGTCGAAAACAGTACAACGAATCGTCTGCTTTCTCTAATAATTTAAGCAAACGTAAAAACTTCCGCGCTTTGCGCGGGAGGGGGAAATTTCATTCAGACAAGGATTAAGACTCGAGCACTGTTCAACGAATCGTCTACTTTCTCTAATAATTTAATGAAACGCCATAACTTCCGCGCAAAGCGGGAGGGGGAGAAACTGAATTCAGACAAGGATTTACATCGAGAACGGTACAGCAAATCGTCTACATTTTATAATAATTTAATGAAACGACAAAGCTTACGCGCTTCGCGCGGGAGGGTTGGGGGGAACTTCATTCAGACAAGGATTAACAGTCGAGATCGGTACAATAAATCGTCTTCTTTTCCTAATAATCTAATGCTAAGTTCACACCGACGCCGAATTGATGGCGCATTAAATCGGCGAGCAAAGCGGCGGCAAAGCGTAACAAAGCTTAATTAAAGCGTAAAGACCGTAATAGAGCGTGAGAAAGCTTTGAGCAATTCGGGACATTCGGCAAGAGCGCCAATTTTTTTTAAACTGTTTAAAAATTTGTGGCGATCTGTCACGAATTGCGTAAAGCGGGGAGAGCGTATTAAAGCTTATCAAAGCGTCACAAAGCTTATCAAAGTTTTGCTCAAAGCGTAGGAAAGCTTAACAGAGTTTAAATTTTTGGCGCTCTTGCCGAATGTCCCGAATTGCTCAAAGCTTTATCACGCTCTATTACGGTCTTTATGCTTTAATTAAGTTTTGTTACGCTTTGCCGCTGCTTTGCTCGCCGATTTAATGCGCCATCAATTCGGCGTCGGTGTGAACTTAGCATAACATATCTCAGGAGATCGTGAGATTTTTTGAAAAAATGACGCCGAATTGATCGCCGATTTAAAGCGCGACA